GCACTGGCCCAATGATTCTTAAACACGTCCCACGTGACGAGCTACGCAATCAAGGCTGTCTGCATCACGTGGTACACGATACAGTCCTCTTACTCGCACACTTGAGATCTCAATCTTGATTTCAAACCGGCTCTCTATTAACGCAGACGGCGTGAATTCCGAGCGCAGCACGTGACATGTGTTGAACAATCATCGGGCGTGTGCAGCGTGGAACGAGTCAATTCGTAAACGCGGGCAAGACGTAGCATGGTTAGCATGGTGGATGGCGAGGGCTGGAGTTTGGAAACCCTGACTTAATTGATAATTTATTATATTTTAATTCCAGAAATACATTTACATCAACCTGAACAAGTTAAGTCTTCATAGCGCCAATCCCCATAATAGTTAATTGACACTTAACCAATTAACGCGTAACTAAAATCAAAATAGCATTAAAATTCCAGCTTCATTACCAACACAATACACCGTAATGTAAGCGAGGAAATCATACTTTCACCGACCGATAAATAGATTCACCGTATGAAACGAATCTAACCTAACAATCCCAACCAATCAGTCAGTAACCAACTCTAAATCATTAAACCGATGCACATGCATGGCTGGCCTGATGACATTACGGGCCTCTTATTGAGTAACTGAACCTGGGTGTTCACTCCGGCGAGAGCAGACATCGTTCCAACGGCCGATGGATATTGGGTTGTAATCTCCAGCGAAACGTCGTAAAATTGTCAAAACCCGATGCTTGCTTTGAAACATTCTGGTTTGCTGATAAAACAATTCGGTTGGCATATTTGTCCACCTGACAAATAGATTTGAACCCAAAAGTAACTACAGTAATTATGAATCAATATAAAATATTTAAATATTGCTACAGTTAACGGATTTATGTTGGGACAATAGAGTTTTGCATTCATGACAAAAACTAATTTTGTTTAATGAAAATATATGAAAAGTAAATTATTTTAAACAATTCCATGAAGGAACCACCTTATTTCCAACCAAATAAGCTTCACAGTAACCAACGATTTTTTTTATTTTATACCCCAGCAAAGATCAGCCCTAAAATAGTGAGAATTTGCTTGTGATGGGGCATTATTTTGAAATTGCCAACTATATAAAGTAACCTGTTTTTATATTAACTACTCATAGCAATTGGTAATGGTAAAACATCCTCTAAAACCAGGACATGATAAATGAATCCCATGATGCTTCAACTGAAATCCCCCGTTTGGTATTAACACGTTCCTTCGGAGTGGGCAGGTAGGAACTTGATTGGACAGCGCATTCGTGCACGACAGACAGACAAATAATCCCTGGTGGGCAGTGTGGAACCTGTTGTTCCTACCTGTATACGTGTAGTGGTAGGAACCTCCTGGTTCCACTAGCCCAGGGGTCGGCAACCAAAATAACAAGAAGAGCCATTTCTTTCCAATTCGGTACAAAATTCAGTATTTCAAGAGCCGCAATGCATCTGTGTACATACTGTACTCACGTACATATCGTCAAGAAGCAGCCCGTAAAGAGCCACATGCGGCTCCGGAGCCGTAGGTTGCCGACCCCTGCACTAGCCCATAGGAGATTATTGTGCCCGTCCGTCATGCTTCCAAAAATAGGAGGGGTGGGGCTGGGTGGAGAGGGGAGGGGCTGGGTGGGGAGGGGCTGGGTGGGGAGGGTGGGGAGGGGCTGGGTGGGGAGGGGCTGGGTGGAGAGGGTGGGGAGGGGCTGGGTGGAGAGGGTGGGGCTGGGTGGGGGGTGGAAGGGGTGGGACTGGTCACCCCGTGGCGCCCTTATATCAACGTTTAACCTACTCTCGCCGTCTTGTGCCCTCGGGCATATTTGCGGAATACACCACGCCGCCGTTGACCCTGGCCATTGACCGAGCAACCCAACGTTCCTACCAGCTCCCTCCGCAGGAATGTGTTATAAGGGCACCACGGAGTGACCAGCCCCTCCCCACCCAGCCCCTCCCCACCCAGCCCCTCCCCACCCAGCCCCTCCCCACCCAGCCCCTCCCTCCCCACACAGCCCCTCCCCTCTCCACCCAGCCCCACCCCTCCCAGCCCCCACCCCCTCCCCATATGCATGACAGACAAATAATCCCTGGTGGGCAGTGTGGAACCTGTTGTTCCTACCTGTAAAACAGGTGTGTCTCGCTCAACAAGCCCTCTTTTTTCACTATAACGGGCATTTCATTACTTCAGACCAATTTGTTCGCAAAACGAGCAAAATGTTCACTTAGCGAGTGGAGACCGATCAATCAGGCAGGGGGCGCACCATTTACGGCCTTCGGCCTAAGAAAGTTACGAAAAAAATTGCACACGAACGACGCATCCACACAAGCACCCGATGCTCCGTTTTGAAGTTTTAAAATGAAACATCTTTGAATTGTATTATGTTTTGAATAGATAATTTTATTTCTTCATTAAAAGCTTAAATCATTTTACATCTGGAAGACTTCATTTAAAACAACATTTTGTGTGAATTTTCTCTCGTCGTTAAGTAGATGGCCTTGCTGGGGGTTCGGTTCGATGCGGACTTTGACTTGTTTGGGATTGCGGGATCGAGATAAGGCGACATACAGCTGCTGGCCGTGTGAGAAGACCGCCGTCTGCCGATCTATTCCAACCGTAATCGAACATCTGTCCCTGAGCCTCCGTCGTTCATGCAGGGGGCGCGTAGGTTTGCAGTGCCCCCTGCATGAAAACGACGGAAAATGCAGCATTCATCACAGATCAAGTTGTGCGCTTATATAAGAGTATTACTTTATTTTAAATTTACAATTCGTATTTCTCACGTTAAAAAGTTGTTCAAGAGTGGAAAATTGGTGGGGCTGAAACGTGTCTGCTCAGCTTTTAACATGAGAGTCAATGGGAAAACAGTGATCGTGTAAGGAGTTTTCGCTTACCGAGCAATTTTAGCAAAACGCATTTCGCTCGTTATGCAAGACACACCTGTAACACAAACTACAGGCGTATGTATGCTGGACTTCTTTCACACCGTACGTAGTAGCCTACCGTGCTAATCACAGGTATTTGCCACGCAGACATCTGTGTGGCGCACATACAGTGATGAGGTGTGCACAAAACGTCACCCTACTAATCGCATCACGTTAAACGCAGCAGCGTGTAGGGTTTGCACAGCTAACCCACTGAGTGCCCCCCGCCCCCACTGCGATAAAACCATCATGCTATTTATACAAGGCGACGCGTGGAGGGCAGAGGGCCTGTAATAATAATTAATCATCGATGATATCCACACCAGCTGGCACGCCGAGAGGGTGAGACCTTATATAACGGATGCCGCTGTCCGATGGCGAATGCCCTCCTCCTTCAAAGCGTGGTCCGGTCATTTTATCTGCCACACGTGACTCCCATTACGCGGCACCATGGCTGTTGATTGACAGGTAAATGAGCCACACGCACCCAGGGCCCTTGATGATAATTTGCTCTTTAATGAGTTTGAGCATTTGCCCTGAAACGGTGTGCCTCATTCACTCTGTGCGCTGTGCAAATCGCCTTTTAAGACGCTGAGTGCTGCTACACTGGCGAGATCATTGGCGCCCGAACACAAGGCAGGCGGGTTAGCGGTCAACTTCGCGTACGCAGCAACTGGCTTAAAATACAAGTGCGGCGTTAATGGGGAGTGAAAGTTATCATCAGGCACCCAGTGTTACTAAGGTGGACTTTAGCTTGCCCTCCTTACACATGGTTGGTGATGGGAGATAGACACGGTGATCCAATGTGTCGGTATTATTGCACTGATGTCCAGCGAACCTGCCCCTTCCTTCTCAACAAGTGATTGAATAGTGTGAACACGATGGATCCTTTTCTTACAGAGGAAGCGTTAAAATGTTGAGTACGCGTATCAAGCCCGGTGGGAGATGTGCAGAGGATTTAAAACGGAACGTTGTTTCCTCTATAATTTATCCGTGTTATGGGGTATCTACACATTGATGAGCCTGTACAGTACTGTACCGTATAGTGAACACCCAAGGGTGCAGAGTAAATTGCCTTACTGGGTCTTGCATGTCAAATGACAAATTACAGGGCAGCTCTGAAAACTGTGCATTTCCATCTGGTACCCGGAGCATTAAATGAGCAAAAAAATGCACAATTCAGTAATCAACTTCATGGGCCATAATTTTCATGAAAACTGACATCATAGACCCCCCCACACCATTGTCATCGTGAAAACACAACGGCCAGCGACAAAGCTCGTTCATCGTTCTCGCACGACGGGGCGCCACTGCCACAAATAACCATCACCGCCGTAGTCGCAACGCAGCTACCCCGCCACTGCACTGATCACCACATCGCCTCCACCCATTGTCAATCTGCATCACATCTCTGCCGGGACACGATCAACAACGCATCAGGAAATCAGCGCCAGCGCTCTCATACCCAACACATCACTGGCAATGCCACCGCTCCTACCGACACAATGATTCTCACCACCACCACCACCACCACGCCATACTCATCACCACCACCTCCAGCATCAAAGGCAAAGATCCGCCGTATAGCCTGTGACAGACTGTTGGGGCAAGTGCTGTTAGCGAGCATCTATGAAGGCCGACACGGCACACGAGGGGGTAGGTGGCCAGCACCACGCCCGGCCGCCTTTAGCTCCCTCGTGGCGATGTTTACACACCACACCAGGTACTCATTTGAGGCTGAGTCAACCTAGGGGAGGCCCAGGACCGATTCAGATCATCGTCACTGGTGTTGGTGGCCGTGAGCGGGAATCGAACTGGGATCGCCGGGTTCGTCGCGCAGCGCGCTAACCGCTGCGCCACCGCTCCCCACTCCTCCAACACCACCAATTCGCCCGAGCCATCATTATCCGACACGACATCTGAATGAGTTATCATCGCCACTGGCCATCATAACAGCCGTGCACATCCATCACCGTCTCTCCATCACATCACCACATCCATCGCCGGGCGAACATTCACTGCGACACCACCGTCACCACCCACGAGCCCCGGGCCCAGCGCTTACTCTGCGTATCCCGTGGCCCAGGGCATCTTGCGGCCGCCCTCCCTGGGGATGAGGATGGGCCGCACGAGGTGGTCCGCGGAGCACTCCGCCTCGTCCGCGCTCAGGTTGAGGAACTCTGGGCGCGAGTAGGGGAAGCGCACGGGCAGCGCCTCGGCACCGTCCGCGCCGTGTCCACCTCCTCCTCCTCCTCCACCACCTCCACCTCCTCCTCCTCCACTGTCAGCCGAGCCCGGCAGCATCCCCCCCACCATGCTCGCCACGGCGTTGCGCACTCGGCTCAGCATGGTCCGATCTCTGGTGTGTCTCTCTGTCTCTGTGTGTCTCTCTCCGTGTCTCTGTGTCTCTCTGTCTCTCTCTGTCTCTCTCTGTCTCTGCGTCTCTCTCTCCGTGTCTCTCTCTGTCTCTCTCTGTCTCTGCGTCTCTCTGTCTGTGTCTCTCTCCGTGTCTCTGTGTCTCTCTGTGTCTCTCTCTGTCTCTCTCTGTCTCTCTCTGCGTCTCTCTGCGTCTCTCTGTCTGTGTCTCTCTCTCCGTGTCTCTCCGTGTCTCTCTGTCTCTGCGTCTCTCTGTCTGTGTGTCTCTCTGCGTGTCTCTGCTCAGGCTGCGTGTGCGCCTGCGCCGGCTCTCGATGCGCGCTCTCTGCGCCGGCTCCTGCAGGGCCCGTCCCCGCTCCTTCGGCACTTGTCGATCTCTCCCGCCAGGCCGGTGCGTCAACGGCTCCTGCTCGATCCGCCCGGCTCCCTCCCTCCCTCCCTGCCTGCCTCCCTCGGGGTCACTTCGCCTCCTGCGCGTCCACGTCGACCGCTCCGGGTGGAGCCGCAGCCCCTGCCAGGTGTCCCCGGGCAGGTGTCCCCGGGCAGAGGGAGACGCGGAGGGAGACGCGGCGGGGTTCGGGAGCGACCTCTCTGCCCGCCCGTGGCCGTGCGGGCAGACGCAGCGAGCGGGGAGAGGGATCAGCTGTGGGGCGGGGAGACGCGGCGACGGGGGGGCCCAATACGGAGCGGGCACTGTGACACTGCGGGGGGGGAGGGAGATGGAGCCCCCCCGGAACAGACTCACGCTGCTGCTGGCGGAGACCCGGCACGGGCACGGGCTGGGGCGTGCGCTGCTGCTGCTGTGGGGGGGGGGGCGCGACCCGAGTGGCCAACACGAGACCTGGTCGCTGGAGGCGGGGCCTGGAGGCACGAGGGCGGGGCTAGAGGGTCTGGAGGCGGGGCTGTGGGAATGGGGGCGGGGCTGTGGGAATGGGGGCGGGGCTGTGGGAATGGGGGCGGGGCTGTGGGAATGGGGGCGGAGCTCTAAGGCGGGATGGGTCCCCCCAGCGCCATGGGGGCTAAAGGCGGGGCTAGAGGCGGGGCTAGAGGCGGGGCTAGAGGCGGGGCAATGGGGGGTAGGGGCGGGGCTAGAGGCGGGGCTAGAGGCGGGGCTAGAGGCGGGGCCAGGTGGAACAAGGGCGGGGCCTGGACTGTAAGGCGGGGCAATGGGGGGTAGGGGCGGGGCAATGGGGGGTAGGGGCGGGGCAATGGGAGTAGGGACGGGGTAATGAGGGGTAGGGGCGGGGTAATGAGGGGTAGGGGTGGGGTAATGAGGGGTAGGGGCGGGGCAATGGGGGTAGGGGCGGGGCAATGGGGGTAGGGGCGGGGCAATGGGGGGTAGGGGCGGGGCAATGGGAGTAGGGGCGGGGTAATGAAGGGTAGGGGCGGGGCAATGGGGGGTAGGGGCGGGGCAATGGGGGGTAGGGGCGGGGCAATGGGAGTAGGGGCGGGGTAATGAGGGGTAGGGGCGGGGTAATGAGGGGTAGGGGTGGGGTAATGAGGGGTAGGGGCGGGGCAATGGGGGTAGGGGCGGGGCAATGGGGGTAGGGGCGGGGCAATGGGGGTAGGGGCGGGGCAATGGGGGTAGGGGCGGGGTAATGAAGGGTAGGGGCGGGGCAATGGGGGGTAGGGGCGGGGCAATGGGGGGTAGGGGCGGGGCAATGGGGGGTAGGGGCGGGGCAATGGGAGTAGGGGCGGGGTAATGAGGGGTAGGGGCGGGGCAATGGGGGGTAGGGGCGGGGCAATGGGGGGTAGGGGCGGGGCAATGGGGGGTAGGGGCGGGGCAATGGGAGTAGGGGCGGGGTAATGAGGGGTAGGGGCGGGGTAATGAGGGGTAGGGGCGGGGCAATGGGGGTAGGGGCGGGGCAATGGGGGTAGGGGCGGGGCAATGGGGGTAGGGGCGGGGCAATGGGGGTAGGGGCGGGGTAATGAAGGGTAGGGGCGGGGCAATGGGGGGTAGGGGCGGGGCAATGGGGGGTAGGGGCGGGGCAATGAGGGGTAGGGGCGGGGCAATGGGGGTAGGGGCGGGGCAATGGGGGTAGGGGCGGGGTAATGAAGGGTAGGGGCGGGGCAATGGGGGGTAGGGGCGGGGCAATGAGGGGTAGGGGCGGGGCAATGGGGGTAGGGGCGGGGCAATGGGGGTAGGGGCGGGGTAATGAAGGGTAGGGGCGGGGCAATGGGGGGTAGGGGCGGGGCAATGAGGGGTAGGGGCGGGGCAATGGGGATAGGGGTGGGGCAATGGGGGGTAGGGGCGGTGCAATGGGGGTAGGGGCGGGGCAATGGGGGTAGGGGCGGGGCAATGGGGGGTAGGGGCGAGGCAATGGGGGTAGGGGCGGGGCAATGGGGGGAGGGGCGGGGCAATGGGGGTAGGGGCGGGGCAATGGGGGGTAGGGGCGGGGCAATGGGGGTAGGGGCGGGGCAATGGGGGGTAGGGGCGGTGCAATGGGGGTAGGGGCGGGGCAATGGCGTGCACACACACACACGTGGCGTGCACACACACACACGTGGCGTGTGTACACACACACACGTGGCGTGTGCACACACACACACGTGGCGTGTGTACACACACACACGTGGCGTGCACACACACACGTGGCGTGCAGACACACACACGCTACGTGTGTACACACACACACGTAGGGTGTGTACACACACACACGTGGCGTGCACACACACACACGCTACGTGTGTGTGTACACACACACACACGTGGCTTGTGTACACACACACACACACGCGTGGCGTGTACACACACACACACACGTGGCGTGCACACACACACACGTGGTGCGTGTACACACACACACGTAGCGTGTACACACACACACGTGGCGTGTACACACACAGGCGCCGTGCTTCTCTTACACGTCCCAGGCTCCCTTCTCAGAGTACACAGCTTCAGCGGTATCGGCTCGGTAAAGTTCTAAGCAAACGCTGGGCCGGTTTCAACGCACAGGGTCTCATCAGTAGCCAAGCTTGCTTGAACCAATGCTGGTGAATGCACTTCCAGAATGTCATGGGCAATGACCCTCTCTCTCTCAGACGAGGCTCCTTGTTAGACCAAAAAATGCTATAACACACAACACAATAATCAGCGTCATTGTGCAGAATATAAGTAAACAACTTCTTGGTTCTTTCGGTAAAGTCACGTAGAAGGGAAATAATCAAATGATAAAAGAAAGAACCAAGAAGATGAATCCCTGCAGTCACGAAAGCTTTACATCGAAATAAGCAAACAAGCTCAGCAGACAAGACGGATTGTCTGCGAGTTATGTTGAATCTTGACTTAAAGCTTTCGTGACTGCAGGGATTCATATTCTTGGGTCTTTCGGTAAAGTCACGTCACAATATTTCATTTGAACCGATCTACGTGCCGTCTTTTAAAGATAAGCTGTTACCATCGTGAGAAGTGACCTTGAAGAGAAAGAGTGATTTCTCTTCATAGTTGCTGAGTAGAGATAGAAATGTCCAAAACACCAAGAGCAAATCTGTGGCTGTATGACCAAAGCTTCATTCATCAGAATAGAGCAATTCGAATTTTCTTTCGTGAATTCGCGATTTTATGAATGTCCACTTAGTGCCCTCTGGTGGCCTCATATGGTTACTGTTGCCGTAATTGCATTGCGTTCAAAGTGCAATGTTGTTCTTGAAAAAAATATATGAATATGTTTTATTACCCTTTATGTCAATAAAACAGGTGTTAATATGTTCAAACACCAAATAGAAAGATTTTTCAAGGAATCAACTCTACATTAACCACACGTGCTTGTAGTGAACATGCAAACAAAAACATGCTCTGGTAATATATTTTGTTTTGTTTGCATGTAAAAATATTATTTTTTCTTCATAATTTGATACTGGCCAAAAAATATCCCATGATAATGTTATTCTTAAGATCGACCATGCGACCCTCCCTGTGTCATCTCTCGCCTGCTTTTCCAGCCACTTGACTGTCACCACCAGAAATGATGGCCTCGTCCGTCTATTCCCGTGGTGTCATTTGCCGTGGCATTTCCCTTCCGAGTCAGAATCAGAATATTTGTTTCGACTGGAGGAATCCGATGAGCTACAAAGCTCGTTTTGTCTCACAGATGTCGAGTCGGGGCGGGTCAGAGTGTTACGACAATAAATAACACAAACACACGATAGCAGTGCAAAGTATGGGAAAGGTAAACAATAACGTCCAAATATATACAAATACAACTAAACTATTTGTTTCATCTTACCAGGTAAAGACCAAGTGATACCATTATCAGATATTAAAGTTCAAGGGTATTGCGACCTGGACCACCAATATGACAAAGCAATGAAATAAAATAAAGTACAGCAGAGAAGCAAATATGAATAAGAGCAACGACAACCAAATAGAAATCAGATCGAGGACAACCAAATAGAAATCAGATCGAGGATAAACTGCTTACAGAAACAAATACGAGACAAACATACATTCATATTAAATCATAAACATTTTCTGAAAGTTAGCTGGGAGAAAAAAAAACCTTTATACCACTCATTACACAATTATTTATAGAAGCATTGAACATATTTAAGGGCAGTATAGCCCTAATTAAACAGATAAAGAAACGGATTGTTAAATAGAATTGCTGATGAAGCTATCATACAGAATAGACAATTTAGCATCAAATTGTAATTAAGGTGTATAAGTATTCTATTTTTGGATACTTGTATGTATCAAGGCCGTAGCCATGGAGTCAACATTGGGGGGGACCAAATCTTCCAGAGTGTCTGGGGGTCCCAACCCAGAAAAATATTTAAATTGAATAACTGATTTCCTGCCTAAAATATGAAAAAATTCACTAACACATGGGATGGACTTTTTATTTATATTTTACAATAATGTCTAAAAGTGTATTGTATTACATTGCTCTGTTTTTACTTTTTTACCATTTCTTGTTTCATTGTATGTGTAAAGTAGTAACTCGGCGGGAGACGTCTTGACGGGTAGCACACTCTTTATTTTCACCAACTTGTAGTTACACGGATGACTAACACCCACTTCGTTGCACGGGTGACTAACACCCACTTAGCTACTCGGGTGACTCACACCCACTCAGCTACACGGGTGACTAACACCCACTTCGTCTCACGGGTGACTGACACCCACTTAGTTACTCGGGTGACTCACACCCACTCAGCTACACGGGTGACTAACACCCACTTCGTTGCACGGGTGACTGACACCCACTTAGCTACTCGGGTGACTCACACCCACTCAGCTACATGGGTGACTAACACCCACTCAGCTACACGGGTGACAAACACCCACTCAGCTATACTGACACGGGCTCTTACGCCCCGTAGCCTTCCGGGACACACCCAGCCGGGGGTGCCCGTCTCGGCTCTGGGTACCACCGTCCCGACCCACACGGGCGTCGGACTACGGGTCCCCCAGTCTCGGCTCCGAGCCACACAGGGCCCCGGTCCTCACAAGGACGGCGGGACTAGGGGTCTCGGGCCACTACCTCCTCCACCCCGTCTTCGGTCTTTAACTGGTTAACACTGACCACGAGTGCTCTTGCGCGTCTCCCTTTATACCCCTCCTGCGGACGTCGCTGAGAGCACCCACTTATCTGACCAATCACTGCGCACTCGCTACGATCCTCTTTTCCCAGCTTGTGTGAGCGCGCCTTACCACCGGCGCGCGCGTCCATGCCACGCCC